AATATTTTCCAGTTTAGGTCGATTTTGCCTATTAAAATTGAAAAACGGTTGGTTTTGAAAATTTCTCCTTTTAAATATAGTTGTTTGTCATTTACAGGCAATGGACCCCCTCCCCCATCTATTCTTCTATACTACTTTTTATGCTACAATAAGTTAATGTTACATAAACAGTGAATCTGTATATCCCCTGCAAGTATAACAGAATAAATTTACTGTTTATACTATAGTATTTTGCTGTACCATGAACAATAAACCTTGGATCCTCCTTTATGTATAGAGCATTAGATATAATTTCTAATTTTAAATATACAATAATCAAATTAAATGTATTGAATCTTAGGGGGAGTCAGGTTTTGAAAGATTTTTTTTTTTTAATTTAGTTGTTTGTCATTTACAGGCAATGGACCACCTCCCCCATCTATTCTTCTATACTACTGTTTATGCTACAGTAAGTTAATGTATCATAAACAATAAATCTTTATATCCCCTGCAAGTATAACAGAATAAATTTACTGTTTATATTACATTATTTTGTTGTATCATAAACAGTAAATCTTGGATCCTCCTTTATGTATAGAGGAGTAGATGTGATTTCTAATTTTAAACATATAATAATCAAATTAAATGTATTAAACCTTAGAGGTAGTCAGGTTCAAAATGCATTGTTTAAAAAAAAAATAAGAGGTTGTGCTTTGCACGGGTACACACTAGTCTCTTATAATTAGGATACAAATTTAGGGAGAACAGTTTTCTTTTGAGACAAAGACAAATGAGCATTAAATATATAAAAAAAGGCAACTGAGGAAATGTATGCTAAAGAAAGTGCCACATGTATAAATTGATACCAACGATTTTATCACGAGGATATAAGATAAGATAATATTAAATTACATTTATCTATTAAATTACATTTCTCTCTCCTTCTAATCATGGCTTTTTCTTTCCTTTATCCAATGTCTTGGGAACAAGATCTAGTGGCATGCCTTTAATCCTCTCCAAGCAGGACAAACTTTGTGGCGCTTCAAGAATTATCTAGAGCTAATCCATTATAAACCACTCTCAACTTTGTTAAACTATACTCCTATGATCCACTTTAGTTATGAGAAATTTGCCATTAGACATAAAAATGTGGTGTAAACTTTAGATAAAAATTAAAGTATATCAAGGACATGTGTCTAGCACCTAATTCCAAGGAAAAAGTTGTGATTCCTAGTTGATTTGGTGGTTGCTATAAGCCACCATGAAACGTTGTATTAGTCACTAATTAATGTGGTACTAATGATTTGACAGTGAGAATTCTTAGGGAAAATGAGTTGCTTTCCCTGTTTAGTTCTTTCGGTGGAGGTGAAAGAGTTGCGTTTGTCTTTGCTTGCTTTCTAATTTCTTAAATGCCATTTTATGAAATCAAGCTTAAGATAAAGTTTTGAATTATTTGATAATCTATTTAGTTGACCTTTAGCCCTTAGACCACTTGACTAATTTGCTATCGGAGACATGAAACTATTCAATTGAACAGACATTAAGTCACATGCAAATGTTTTGAGGCAACAATCCAAAGCTTTGTTTGTTGGAACCTTGACAGTCCATCCACATGAATTATTGGTGCGAATTGGGCGGATAATGCTAATTAAAGTTCAATGCTAACTTAATTCAAACTCCTAATCTTAACCTAACATAACTCACTCTTGGGTTAAGAATTAACTGACCAAAAACTTGACTAGCCTATAAGAAAAATCAATTTGAATTGGAATTTTTCGTTCTCTAGGAGTCTGATCTACAAAGAGACTACATAACACAGTGACTACAATCTGGACTTATTCAACATTATAAAATTTATCAGTGGGATTCAAACATGAATTGTTCTTGTACCATTTTAAAGTCACTCCCACTACATCAAAATTTCAAAGTTCCAATGAGAATTAAGCATTATGATTTAATT